CATCATGTTCCTCAGATCCTCTATTTTTTTATCTGTGTCCTCTCTAGATTTATTAATCATGTCTTGCACCAAAATCTTGTCATTTTGCTCATGTCTTGAGCAAAATCTTTGTGGTTATCTGAGTAATTATTTCTGATTTCATTTTTCCCAGATCCTCTTTTGTTGCCAGTTCTGAGAGTCCAGGTAGTTGAGTATCAGATTGTTCCATCTCAGTTCCCTTTGGGGTTGCTGTAGGTGATCCAGAAGTCTGTTTCTGAGACTTGTTTACATGTCTTCTCATTTCCAAGGGAGGGGGTGCTTCTGGCGCCCACACAGCTCACCTTCTGTGCCCTAGGAGCTTGGAATGGCAGCTGGGAAGCTTCCTTCTGGGTTCTGGGACCAGCTCAGCTTCTCTGCCCTAGGAGCCTGGGATGGAGGTGGGGAGCTTCCTTCCAGGTGCTAGGACCAGCTGAGCTTTTCTGCCCTAGAAGCCTGGGATCTCATTGGCATTTAGTTTTTAAAGGTTGCATTTATGATTCCTGGGGAGGGGCAAGCTGTGCTTAGCAGAACTTCTGCAATATAACAGTAATAGATTGGGAGGTAAGGGATGACCTAGTACTTTTATGTAAATCAAACAAGATTCAGGTTCAATTACATGAACAATTCCAAATATCTAGAAAAATTATTTGACCTCCAAATTGTCCACAACATTATATGTAACTGGAGTACACATATTATTAGAACCTTGAAATTGTTGCCCTTTAAAAATGGTCCAAACAACCATATACAATCCAAGGTCTGTTATTCATGTTTACACCTCCCGTGCTTCACAGCAGAATGACCTGGGCTTGTTTCTAAAAAAAAAAAAAACTACTGCCAACAAATGAAGCTAGAAGTGTGAGCCAGTGGAAATCTAGTTGTCGTATATCATGACCACCATCCCAGCCCAGCCTGAATCTGACCCAGTTAACAGGGTTTATCAAACCAAAAAAAGCCCTTTTCATATCCAGAAAGCATTTCAACCTACCCTAGACCAAAGCCCAACCATAAATTTCATTAGTAAATCTTCCAAACAGGAAAAAAGGAAAAAACGATGTGTTTCCTCCTGACTCACTTGTCTCTCCCTCCACCTACCACACCCCACTATCCTATTACATGAAAAAAAAAAAAAAAAACTGGGGTACTCCAGGGACCACAGATCATTCTTCAGCAAAATAATTACATTCAGAAACACTATTTCTCAGAGAGTGCAGAGAAATTTTATTTAGAGACTGTGGTGGGGGGATGAAAAAATCAGTGTTGATCATGTTGGTCTTAGGCCTGTCACAGAGGGGCTTTTCTTTGCACTGGACTTGCGACAGAGAGTGACATGGAAAGCATGGATTCAAGCGGTCTCTTCCACCAAGGCATTGACTTGTGTGGCTAAGGAGACAAATGAGAAAATGTAAGGTATACACTCTGAAAACCCATGTGTTTTTCACATAGAGGGCTTCCCAACTCACTTTCCCAGAAATGTTATCAAAGCCAGGATCCCTAAGAGTTTGGGAAATTCTCCTTTCAAGAGGTATATTCAGAGTTTATGTCTTCTCTACTAAGCCAACAAGCTTAGACAGAGACTCCACAGCACAGAGAAGACAAGAAATGAATATGGAAGTCTGGTCATTGCAGGACTTATGGGGGAGAGGGGAAAGAGTCAAGTGGGTTTGGGGGGTGAAGGAGAATGAGGGAAGAGATTGCTAGGGAAGGATCAGGGATAATCTTTTGGAAAGTGAATGGAACACCATGCTTTTGACAAAGGTATGCCATTTTGGAAAACTGGTGAACCCAGGATGATAATTCCTCCATCTAAGAATCATCTTTGTAATCAGAAAATGTTGTCAATACCTTGTCTTTTGTTCCTTTTCTGGGTTAACTTCTTTGCTTTTTGACTCTGTGGGAAACCTACATCTACAGACTTTCACCATTTTCACATGTTCTCCTGCTCTGGCTAGCATGGGAGCTCTAGTTGAAACAGACTCTGTCTACTCTCCCAGTCATTCCTTGCCTTCACCCCAAGTCCACAGATCCAAAGCAGTGCACTCATCACTCCCATTATATAAGTGGCTGTGACATGGACCCTCCTGGTAAAGGACCTGATGACTGAAGTTGTTTTGTCACAATGGCTGAAAGTCAACATGAGAGCTTGGTTGGGTGATTGGGGCAGGACTGACATGTGATTTATGATTACTCCTTGAATCGGCAGGTTACCTATCCAAATAGGCCATAGGGACCTCCACAAATGATACAAATGAAATACAATTCCCTTTGCCTTTCAAACACAAGTCCAGCATTTTCAAAGCCCATTTCTACTGGCACGTTATAGGTAGGCATTTCTGGTTTTATTGTCTCATTTCTAGTAAAGCTCTTGAGCAAGGACTTGAATAATGTAGAAGAAAAAACAATGGCTTTATTGATGTACAGTTAACATACACTATGCTGCACATATTTCAAGAGCACAATTTGATAAATTCTGATATGGCATACACTTATGAACCCAACACAAGTCAAGATAATAACCATAACCACAGCTCCCAAATGTTCCCCTGTGTCCCTTTGTAATCCTTCCTGCCCCTCCTCAATCCCTCTCCAATCCTTAATGTGGATGTCAAAACTCTCGTTCAGCACATTTTTAACTGCTACCCCTGCTTTATTCCCCAGGACCCCACAAAGAGAGCTTCTACCTCAAGAAGTCTGATGTCTGCATAGGGGAGACATGCATACCAATAAAAAGCTCTGGACAGAACCTGTTATAAAGATATAAAATGTGCCCAAGAGGTACAGTATGAGTTCACATGAAGAAGCAACTATAGAATTTGTAGCCTTTGTTTTGAGTTTTGAAAAACATACAGTACTTTAATAGGTATACTGCTAAAAAAAATCTGTACAGATCACTGAGTTTTCCATGAACACCTGATAACCCAATTTGGCTACCACAGCAGAGATTGCCTGAGGGAGAGAATAAAAGACAGAGAGTAAGGTGGTGGGAGGGCTATGGAAACTGAAATGTTGTAGGGAAAATGAACTTCACCTTGTAGACTAATATATAGGTTCACAGACTTTTTTTTTAACAGGTCAGTGACATGATGAGCCTTTCTTTAGGAAGTTTCACTAGGCAGCACTCTGCAAGAAAAGAGAGGCTTAAGCAGCCTCCACAGTAATGTAGTCCAAAGTAACAAGGTTGAAAACTAGGCTGCCCCTTTGGGTCAGGGAAATGTGGGCATCGTGAAGGGAGACTCAACAGGGACCAGAGAAGAGTGGTCAGGGCCCAAGGACATCCCTGGGGTTTATCTTTTTAAAAGTGCTGCTGGCCGGTGCCCACCAGCAGGGTCAGGTTGGTAGGGGGTTCCCAAGAGATAAAGCATCCTCTCTCTTAGGTTTTAAACCAAGTTCCGGCACTTCCTGAACAAATGAAGACTTCTCTGGAGACGGAGCATTCTACAGTTGTCTGTCATTTTTTAACCTAAGACTCAGGTTTTAATTGTAGGGAAGCAACAAAGGCAGGGAAGGAGAGGATGAAGAGGCGGAAGTGTACTTGAACTGTGTTTGTACACTGTGAAGTGCCTTAAGGGAAGAGGGAGAGATAAGTGAGCCCATAGGCAGGGGACCTGTGCCTCGCAAAGAGCTCTGTGCTGAGGGACCCGTGCTTTGCCATCCTTGTCTCAGAATTATTAATTTTTAATAAGCCAGCATTTTCATCTTGCACTACACCCCGTAAAGAATGTAGCTGTTTCTAGGGAGGTATGACTTTTTACCTGGAGCAGATGTCACAGGAAGTGGCAAATAAGTTTGACAAAACCCTAGCTAAAAAGGTGACAAAATTATATGGAAAAATCTGGAAATTGTCAAAAGGCCTTGTGTGCATACCACAGAATCTCCTGAGACTCTCCCAACCTAAGCAAAGAATGTTTTCAGCTCAGTTTTGTCTTTGCTTCCTCGCAGCATGAAGAAAGCATCATTCTCACCTTCACAGTGTAGTAGTCCAAGTGGTCTACTAGGGAGACAAATATTTCTGCACAAGTGATAGTCCCCACCAGACTCTAAACAGCTTTGTGGCATTGCCCTTCATACTTTCTCTCAGAAAAGAGAAATAAAAGGCTTCCCAGGATCAGGAATTTGTTGACAATAAAATCTGATTACTGCAACATTCAAAAACATCTGGATATGTCTTTTGTCCTTAGTAAAAACGAAGGCTTTGTTTTGAAGATTTCTCTAGACAAGTTGTATCAGCTCTCTGGGAACAAGGATGTGGGAAGGGTAAAGTGTTACTAAACCTCTGTGCTCTGGACTGAAGAATTCCAGACTAGAAAGAGCAGCCAAGGAGTTACTTTGCTGTCTTTCCTTAGTATAAATACAACTAAACCTAGTTTTTGGGGTCTCCAAATATTAGAATTCTGTCCAAAAGAGCATTAGGAAAACCAAATAGGCAGAAACAGTTGGGCAACACTTTCTTGTCAGCTCAATCTTTTAGTAGTTGCAGGACACAAAGCAAAATTATACTTTCAGTCTGTTGCCTCTTACCCTTAATGGATCACCATTAAGGCAATAGAGGTTCAGCAAGTTCAAGAGATAAGACTGAATTGTGATACTCTGTCTGGACCCAACCTTGGTCATAAGACTTATATCAAACATTTATATTAAAAATAACCCAGAAATACTCATGCACCTCATAAGGAAGTTTCACTCAGTGGTTTACAGCATATATACAGCAGTAGTCCCATAAGATTTTATCACCTAGTGAAACTGTACGCATCTTAGTTTGTATAAGTTCACACAATGACGAAATCACTTAAAGATGCTTTTTAAAAAATATATCCTTGTAGTTGAGCCATGAGTGACTGTACTGGTCTCCTCTGCCCAAAGCACTAGCACCAGCATGAAAATCACAATGCTGTGAAATCATCAATTATGAAGGCATTGGACTTCATATGTGGTAATTTCAGTCTGCCTCTCTGGACCTTTCCCCTCTTGGTGGCAAACCTTCCTTTCAAGGACCAGGCATTCTCAAATTAATGGTCCTCAAATGGTGGGATGATTTTAAGAAGGGAAGAACATAAAGGGAGATGAGAGGCGCAGAGAACATGTTCGGGGAGGGGAAAGGAGCAGAAATTTCAACTGTGGTTCATCATGGCACAGTGGCAAGAAGCCCAGACTGGGGATTAGGAAATCTGGGCATAGAATCTGACTTTGCCTATAATCTATGACTTTATCCAAGTTATTCTTCATCCCCAAGCTTATTTATTGTGAAATTGTTCTCTAGCAACCCTCCAACTCAAAGATCCTTACTCCAGTTGGTAGATGGATTAAAACAAATTTGTTCCTAAAGACCACATGAGGTCAAATGACTTAATACATGTGACATTTTTATAACACCCTTTCCAAATATCCTAGGATGCAAGCTCCACTTTTATCTTTAGGCTGTAGGGAACTGTAGTCTCAGTGTATTCTGAGAGGGAACACTTTTTTTTACTATGTTATAGATGGGAATTAGAGTCAGTAGAGGTGGAGGAGAAATTAACGTGAAAACTAAGTGGACCATCCTAGGAATAAAATTTGGATTTTTGTTTGTGTGTGTGTACATTGTACCATGTGGCCTTATGTTAGTGACAACTTGGGACAACAAAAGGGTTGGAAATTAACTAATTTTTCAAAAGTCCCAAATTAAGAACAAATGAAAGTTTGCAATGTCTCAAGTAAGAACTTTCAATTTTTCCAGAGGACCTTTCAATTCACAGCCTGTCTCTAAGAAGAATGTACTACTTTTTTCTCACTTTTTCTCCCTCTCCCTTCAATGTTAGATTCCCTCACTGTGATCCTGGCAGTACATGTATGAGAGAGGAGGCAAAGTGGAGAGTCAAGGCCAGATATATTTCTAAGTCAAGGAGAGAAGGCCAGGTGGATGAGTGAGAAGTCCATTTTCTGGGGATCAGCAATCCTAGTCCATCCTTGACTATTCTGCTGCCTAGATACAGTTCCTCAGACAATCCTCAATACCCCCAAAGTAGCAGGAAAAGGACTCTACTCAAGATGAATCTCCCACCTTTTAGCAGCCCAATATCTCTGTTTATTGTTTATGGAAAGATAATTTGAGAATATAGTAGAAAGGATGAGAAAGGAGGAAAATGGGAAATAACAACTAACAAATCTCAGGCAAAACCCACCATCAACAGAACCAAAATATCCCTGCATTTTCCAGAATTGGTTGGGAAAGATGAATGGAGTTGAGGTCCTTCCTTTTTCTCAAAAAAGCACTCCTTGACCTGAATCTTTAGTCTCTCTCAATTCTCTACTGAAGACACCATATGTGCTTTGGCCTCAGAGACCTCTGCTCTCGGTGAGGCATCTCTCTTGGCCACTTTTACCTCCTCTAACTTGTCCCACACCCTCTGCCTATTGAAACAGCAGCAGCATCTACAACCATACAAAAGACAGGGTGTGCATGCGAATAGCATAGAAGGTCAATATCTCCCCAACCAAGGTCAACATCTGGAGAGACTTAGGTTTCAGAATGGGATTCAGACTGAGTCATCAGTATGTGTAAAAGCTGTCAGCAACTTTTCCATGCTCCCTTTTAATAAACCTCAAATCCCAACCTGCTGGAAAGGTCCCTCCTCATTAAGACATCTATTGGACTCCCCAGAAAAATTAATAGAGTAAGTGAATTGCAGAGGTGAGATGGGATCCAACTAGAGATCCGACTTCTAAATGAGTAACACCCTTACTCTAACCTTCCTAACCTAAGAATGGGACCAGTGGGCCCTGTACCTCTACTTTACCTGTCCTACTAGGAAATAAGGGCACCATATACCCATCTACCTGTGTCCAGAAAGACAACCCAAGCCCCAAGACAGAAGGAACTAGTAACTCTTCTTCTAAAAAGGAATGCCCTGTCTCTCTGTGTACTAAAACTACCAGAAAATATCCATTTCCTTTCAGCAATCAGAAATAAAAAATTCAAAAATATTAAAGAGAGAACAAAAGTTGAGTACCACTGGGTAAGCTAAGGTCTGGAGGAGACAGTTTTATTGAGCTGTCTGTGCTCCTCCCATGCTGGGTTATTTGAAGTAGCCCATGCATCTGCTCTGAGCTTTTTCCCTCATTCTGGGCCCCCAAAAAAATGTTAGTAGAAGAAAAGGTGAGGAGATAGTGAGCAGACAGGATTAACAGAAGATTCTCCAGGGAAGACTTCGCTCTGGGCCTGCTAAGGGTCAGGAGTGAGCTCATTGTGCTCCATTTAAATTGCCATTGGCTCACACAACACTGGGGCAGAAATGGAAAGAGAAACACAGCAGGCAGCAGTGGCCAACCTTGCTCTGTCATCACCCCAGGAGGTCTGATACAGGAGCCAACACAACCAGACCCCTGCCCCACCCTTGCCTGGCCTGAGAGTCGCCTCCCGCACAGGGCTTTCTGCAGCTCTAGTTTCTCAGCATGGGTGTTTGGAAGCAGGGCAGCTCCTCAACCCTGTGCAATGGGGGCCTCTTTGTTTGTTTGTTTCTTCATCAGCTCTCAAGTCTGGCTGCCTTCTTCCCTGTGACCTCAGTTTCTCCTTGGCAGAGCTTTTGCGGGTGGGAGGGATTGAGGAGAGAAATAGTATCCAGTCTCCAGGACCATCCAGCAAACCCCTCTCCAACCTAAAAGGTCAGTTTCTCTGTAAACCTTCTGGCCAGCAAAGCCAGGCATCAGGGATCAGCACAGAACACCAGCAGGGTATGATGGAGGCAATGTCCTTTGCTCCCTTTCTTGCTCCCTCTTGTTCAAAGTCACTCTGACGGTGTTGGAAAGTCAGTCCCCATAATCAACCAAAGCAGCTAGACTAAACAAATATGTACTGACCACCTACTGTGGACTATGGTAGCATCTGTAGGAAATGCAGTAGAAAAAGACATAATCTCTAACTACAAGGAGGCTCACACCAAAGCCAGATCATCTCAGAGATCATCTAGCCCTACTTGTTTATTTACCTAACAAGAGAGCCAAAGTCCAGAGGAGTCCATCAAGACCAGAACCAAGACTCATCGCTTCCTGTTGAAACCAGTTTAACACACACAACATGGCAATCCAGGCATTGTCTAGACTTGAAGGCCAGTGTTATAAGAACAATGGACTTTGAATAAATTTCAAAGAACAATGAAAACTTGATAAGTAAGGGAAGTCTTCCTTGAAGATGTGGAACAAATGGAGAGGAATAGGAAAGCTAGAAAACATATAAGGACTTTTTATTCATTCAACAAATGTATTCCACAAATATTTATTGAACTCCTGTTCTGTGGCAAGACTTTTTAACACCTGGGGACTACACAGTGATGAACACAATTACTAAGTGCCAGCTTTTATGGAAGTCTTTGCTTTTGTGGGGCTTATTGTAGAAGAAACAATGACCAGAGTGGGCAGAGAAGTTCCTGAGCTACAAGGCAAGGTTAGAGCTCCTCCCTCTTCCTGGTTCCTGAAAATAGGAAAAGAAGTATAGCTTATGATAGCCACCCAAGAAACTTGGTTTTCAAAACATGATTGGGCACCTTGTCAATGAACATTAGAAATTCAGGCAATGGGGCTTGAACTACAGTCCTCTATTCAATCTACTTTTGCTAAAAAGCCAAAGCAAAACAAAAACCCAACTACTATATCCTCAGTTCTTGCATGAAGATAATGGAAGTTGAGAGAAAGAGACCAAAAGAATAGTTAAGTTCTATTGAAAGTTTTATGAACTTAGTATGAGTTACAAAGGAGAAAGAAGAAACACAGTGTCTCTATTTGGAAATCTTAAAAGCTCTTTGAACCCAACACAGTAGGTCTTAAACCAGTGCACAGTCACCACTATCCCAAAGCCTGCTCTTTATCCTGTGAGTGACACAAGCATCCAGATAGTTGCATTACAGAGAAACAAAAGCCACAGCTTTCACACCAACTGCTCACACCTCCTACATCCAATCTATCACCAAGACTTTGTCTTTTGTGTCTGTCTCTACATCTCAATCAGCACCCTCCAGGCCCATGTCTAAGCTGTTATCAAATCTCTCTGAAACCACTGCTATTAACCCTAGCCTCTCCCTTTATGTGCTCAGCTCCTCTGTTCAATCCACTGCCCACCCAGCAGCGTTGAATCTCATCATGACATACTCTTAACATTTTTTAAGTTTCCTGGTTTCTGCCTCCCCTTGTCAATATCATTCTCTAGAGCCAAAGTAACCCCTTAAGAAATAAATTGCTGATTGTGTCAATACCTGATTAATGATTTTCTGCCCTCTCAGCTGAAAGTTGTACATACACAAGATCTATATTTGTTTTTATCCACCCGTATTTTCCTAGCACTTAAGTGCATGGCATATCCTACATAAGCAATAAGTATTTATGACTAAATTTTTTTAAATTTTCAGGACAGTGGTTCTCAACCAGGGTTACTTTGTCCCCTACATTCCCCCAGGTTTCCAAAGGATAGGTGTCATTATTTGGAAAAATTTCTGGATGTAGTATTTTGTGAGGGTTCTACTGGCATCTGACGAGAAGAGGTCAGAGATATAGTCAAACATCCTACAATACATACGACAACCCACAAAAACTTACCCAGCCCATCATGTTAAAGGTATCACTGCTGAGAAAGCTTGAGTCAGATGAAAAAGGAAAACATACATTTTGATCCTATTGAACTGGATCTCCTAGAGTCGAGTACTTATAGAAATACAAGTACATTTGTTACCTCCAGATGTTCTGAGAGACAAACACAAATCCATACACACACACTGAACGACTTTGAAATGTCCTACAGGCAGAGGACACATATTTTAATGTTCTCTCTTGTACTCCCTGATGCCCTGGGGTTTTTTCCGTAATACCTCTCTGGAAATTTTCACTTAACCTAAAAAGACCTCAAAATTAAAGACCAGCCTTGAGCTTCACTACAGAGACCATCTTATTTCACATACCTGACCAACTTGCGAAGAAGGCTAGTGAAATCACGAAAGAGCCCCTCCCACCCCAACCCCACCCATCTGTGCAGCCACAACCCTCTGCAGTCATAATGACTAAGGCCTTAAATACCCAGACTCCCAACCTCTGGACCTTGCAAAGCCCCTCATTTTGGCAGAAATCACAATATCTATTAGCCATAAATCAAGAAGAGAGGCATGAAAAGAGGCAAGAACCAAACTCCTCACAAGGGTGTCAAGAGAGGTGGCAGCAAAAGAAAATACTGGAAAGGCAGTCTGAAGAGTAGGAAACCCGGTGATAATGGTGAGTAGAGGGTGAATGAGACAGCAGGCAAACCTAGGAACATGTTGCTTCCCCAGCCCTCTCGCCTGAGGCCATCCTCATGTCCTGAGGCTATTTCCAATGACTACATTCATATTTGGGCCAGAAGGGTTCTGGTGGATGTGTCCTAATGAGTGTTAACCTGTCCTTCCTCCATAGCCAATCGCAATTGCCGCTCCCGCTGTTGACCAGACAGTGGGCTCTGCCCTAGTAGACTTCAGACACCACCAGGAAGTAACAAGGGGACAACAGAAAGGGACTGCCAAGGAGATCTGCAATTAGAGCAAAGCCAGAGAAGAGCCTATCACCTATCAAGTGTGGGTGAAATTCCAGTTGTGACAACATGAGAAATGTATATTGGCGGATTCTCCTGAACAACTCAATAAAATTTTGAATACTGAAATGTTTCCTTTGATATTTTGTTGGAAAAAAATGGGTTTCTGAGCTAGATGAGCTTGGGCAAGGATGGGATGGTATGAAGCCATTAAATATGACTTGGGAAATATTAAAAGTAATTTGTCCTTACAACACCCATGGTAGCCCAACTCTGGTCATGAGCCATCACTGCATTTAGGCTTTTGTCTCAATGCACAGGAAAGAAACTACTCTCTTGGAGTGCCAATTATGAGCCAAGAATACCAGCTGTTGAGGGATCCATACGTGTGACACTAATGGAGGCTTAAGATTGGAGAGGTGCTCCAATCACATACACAGGACTATCAAGGTGTTAAGACATAGGGAGAAAGACCAGTGTGGTAGGACAATCATCATGGAAGTGGTTAGATTTAGGTTATTTTGGCTGGAGATGGACAAGACTGGAAGTAAGGATATTGCTTGTGAGGGTCAACTCTGTCATAATGAAACTTAGGTGTGTCTGGAAGTAGGGATTACCTTACTGATCCTGGGTGGACCTTATTGATCATTTGGCAGGGTAGTGTCCTTGGCTATAGAACTGGCTCTGCTCATTACCTGGACCTTGGATTATGATAGGGTTTATAATGTCTCTGGCCAGCAATCTGACAACACCTCTCAGTATCTATCTTCTCAGAGGGTAATAATTTTAATTAGTGCTTCCTATTGCCTCAGAGCTCACAGCAGGATGGAATTGAGACTCATATTTACACTCAACCACCAGCCACCCACATGGAAAGGTTATAATGAGGAAGAGATGAGAAAAGCATGAGGTCCAACATCAAGTTTCCAATAGTGGGGGGTGGAAGAGGGACTGCCTTCCTGTGACAGAGCAAGGGAAGGGGAAACTCCTGGTATTTTCAAGGAGGCTACTGAGTTTAAGCCTCATGCAGGTGTGTAGATATGAGGATGTTTGAGACAGGAAGACTGGTAATGAAGCATACCCTCAGGGGTCAAATTCAGAAAGAATGTTCATTTCTCAGATGGCTCCAACAGAAAAATCCAGGTCATTTCACTTGAAGTAATATCTGTCAGGTTTCTTGGTCCATGATGTCTCATAATCCTGGAGAATGTACACAGTGTTTCAGAGCTATTTTCTTCTCAAGTTTGTATGCAAAATCATCTTACCATCAAGCATGTAGACACTTCAAGCTCATCTTTGCCCTGAACTTCTTAGAAGTTAATGTAAAGTTCTGGTCTGGAATCGTTCCTTAAGAAGCTGTGAAATGGCTGATCAGAAGGTGCCAGCTTCACCCTGCTCCTGTACCAACTCCTTGCAACATGCAAAACCCACCCCGCCAAAAAAACTTACTTTGTTTTTCTTAAAAAGTTTTTACTGCTCTTTCTGTAAATTCTTTTAACTTATCACCACAGGTTGAGTTTTCAGGAAGCAAACTGAGACAGAGTTTGGAATCAAGCTATTCATTAGGAGAGAGGATGCAGCATTATCCAGAGAAGGGAATGAACAAAGCATTGACTGAATCTATCAAGAAGGTTCACCAGTTAGTCTCCCACACAGGACCATGATGGCCAGACCTTTATCCCATTGTCTTGCCATCTTTCAGATTGCTCATCTGTGCAAAGATGACCCCTCTATAGGACACAATCAGCAGTCAGGAATTAACCAAGCCGGACATAGTGGTATATACTTAATAATCCCACCACACTGGGAGGCTGAGGCAGGAGGATTGCAAGTTAAAGCCAAGCCTAGACAACTTAGTGACTTAGGGAGATATTATCTCAAAAAATAAAAATTTAGAAAAGAGATTGTGGCTATAGCTCAGTGCAAAGGCCCTGGGTTTAATTCACAGTACTGAGGGCAGAGGGATAATTAGACCAGCAATAATGCTGAGTGTGTGGCATTTACTTCCTGGAGGGAACTTGTTATGACTGGGGCATCAGCCAGGTTATAGACTCTCTCAAGACCTTGCAGGAGAAGAGATCCCTGAAGATGGTTCAAATGAAGAGACTTAACCAAAGGAACTATTTGCTAGGCACTTAACGCCTAACACTGGTGACTTCAGACCCTTATATCTGCTGAGGCAAAAGGACAACAGGAACCCAAGGAAAGCCAGAACTGTGTTTTGGTGGGCAGACACCCTAGTAAGCACTGCATTAAGAAGGATCACAGCTGTTGCCAGAGTCTCAGGGACAAATGCCCTGATGTTTCTCTAATCTTCTGCTGGTGCTCATGATGGCCACACTCAAATAGAAGCCAACAGAAAAGAGATTGGGCTAACAACCCAAGGGCCAGACTGTAGCTCATCAAAGGACAGAGACAAAGGAAAGGACAACTTTGTAAATACAGTGGTAATAACATCTTCCTTCTTGAGACTTGTTAGAAGTCTGCCATTTTGGTGTCCTGTTTGTCTTCTCCCATACATTGTCACAGACCAGTGTCCCATAGGAGCCAATAGTAGAGAGATGTAGTGAGAAAAGGAGCTCAAAACCAAGTTGTTCACAGTTCCTAAACCCTTACCTTGAAGTGTGTTTTCATGTCATTTGCATGACTGTATCACAGTATCCCCAAACCAAGACACTAAAATGTTCTAATACAATGGTATATTTTGGCAATTGTCCAAACACTAATTAATCATGAGCACAAGCATATGGCAAACAGCCTGAGGCTAGTCAGTGCAGACATATCCTCTCCTGGTGACTTCAGCCTTTGCCCTCTTGGACAAGTTGGGAAAAAATGTCAGCCGCCCAGAAAACTGTTTTGCAGTAGGAACATTTTCCAGGCCCACATGCTGGAAATTTTCCAAAGCTGGTATTAACTTAGTCCCTGCCCTCCAGGAACATTCATTCTGTCCCCTTTCACAGCCCCTACCAACCCAGCACCTGTGAGTCTCCTGACCCTGGTGACACTCTTTAGGGAGATTGGAAAACTTCACTCCCTGCATGACTTTGCTCCATCTCCCCAACCAAGGAAGGCTTTGTTCCTCTCCCAGTTTTCTCTGGAACACCATGTCCTGAAGTCATTGCTGTTCGGCCTTTTTGGAAAGTGAAAAATCAGACCAAAAAAAAAAAAAAAATTAAGGATCTTGGCCATAAGCCTTTCTGGGTCACCTTGACCTTCTTATTGGCTGACTTGGATACAAGGCCTCTGCTCTACAGGCTACAAGAGCTCATGGGAGTGATGAAGCCCAGAGAGCCCCTGTGTGGGTGGAAGAACTTTGGGGAGCAGAACTGATCCCCATCCCTCTCTTCAGGGCTCCTCCAGATGACCTTGGGTGGGACCTACTTGTCTGTACAACCAGCACAGACAAACAGGAAGTTCTGGAGAAATGCTCAGGGCTGAGTTGGAGAGGTGAAGGCAGAAATGGCAGCTTGGAGGAGTCTGTGAGCTCTAGGGTAGTTGGTGCAAGTCAGACATAGCCTAGGGCTCAGCTGTTGGGGTCACCCAAAGTTTCTATCCTTAGAGAACAGAGAATAGCAGCATCCTGAAAACTCTGCCTCACTCTCTGGCTTTCCACTGTGAACACTCATGGCCAAGCCTATTGTGGGTCAAGGACCGAAATGAGTAGGGTCTTAATTCCTGACCTCCAGGACCACTAGGTCTTCTTTTCCAGGTCAGTTTCTTTGCCAGGTTGATGAGAGGGAAAGCCGGATATTTTGCTTCAACAGAGTCAACATCTCCTGATGCCTGGCCCTACCATTCCCCTCTCCCTCTTCTACCTTTCCTCAGCCCCAACATGTGAGCTTTCTTGCTACTTAGCCTCATGCCTCAGGATGGTTCAGAGAAACACTCTCTCCTCCCCATCCTGGTTCAGAGAAGAGTGCCCAGCACTAAAAATCACTTCCTAGATTCATCCCTGCTACTCCTCCTGCTTTGTGGCTTTGATAGACCATTCATTTTGCTTTTGTACACCTCCCTTCTGAAACTGGAGCCATTCTGTCTCTTCCTACAGCTCCACCATCACTTTAACAAAGACTGAACTCATGCAGAAGGGTCAGGAATCCTGGGCAGTGGACACAGTATAAGATGAGGCAGATGGGCACCAGCTGAGGCAGCCCTGTGTTCTAATGCCCACACTTCCAGCAGTGTGATCTTAGGTGGCTTTTCTAACTTGTGTTAGCCTCATCTTCCTTATCTGTAAATTATAAATCATAATATCAACCTCGTGGGACATGTGTAAAAACTTAAAGTTCTGTAAAGGATAAGTCCTGAGTAAGGAGACTTCTCCTTTCTCTCTCAGAGTTGGGCCTTTAGGGATCATTGTGCCTATCTGAACCTCAACTCATGATTTCACTTCCAGACTTCAGTCTCTGTAGGCCACACTACATGAGGCTAAGCACTGTACTTGTGAGCAGATTTCTCCAGCAGGGCCTGCTTGCTCTGCACAGAGTTAACTTCAGCGTCCCATTGTGACCTGGCACCTTTCAACCTTTCCTGAGCCTACTCCCTAGGTTAGTCCCTGAGAATCCAAAAATACATTTTCCTGGGGCTTGTTTCCCTCTCCTATAAAATGCAGACCTGAGGATGATCTTATTTCTCCAACCACCCTGTAGACTTCCAGAAAAAGTCAAACTATGCACCAATGAGGGACACAGGGATGGCATCAGGACACATGAACAGCCATTGTGTCTTGGGGAAAAAAAATCTATGAACCATATTCATAATTTAATATGTTGTTAAAAAATAAAATTTGAGTATGGATATTGGTGAAAAGGGTCAAAGGATAGATTAATAAACTCACTAATTAGGATCAGGCCTAATTCTTTTCCATTACCAACAGGAAAGAATAATTAGCTGTGAAGTCCTCAGGTGTAACAC